GATAAAAATGAAATATTATCAACAGTTATCTGAAGGAAAATAGTTAGAAGTTATGGTTTCTTTCTGCTTTTCTATTTTAAAAGGTAAGGGTGAAGGGCGGGGATTTAGCTCAGTGGTTTCGCTGCCTGCTGCGCAAGCTCAAGGACCCAAGTTTGATCCCGGGTACATACATACATACATACATACATACATACATACATACATAAATGGTAAGGGTGATATAATATACCTTTATACAAATATGCAAAGTTTTATATGGGTATTTTATGGAAAATCTCAAAACAGAATTAAAGATTCAAAAGAAAACTGACTTACCTACACTGACAATTACAGAAAGAAGACTAAAATTTTTTAAAAGTCGGGATATTATAGAAATAAAAAGGAGCATATGATACTACTATTAACAACTGTATATCTATGAAATTAGATGACAAATTACTAGAAACACAAATTATCTAAAAATTCCACAGCACAATACTAGCCAACCAAAACCAACAGCATATTGAAAGAATTATACACCATGATTAAGTAGAATTTTATCCTAGAAAAACAAGAGTGGTTCAACATGACAAAAATCCACCACAGTATTAAAAATAAAGGGAAAAAACCAAGATTATCTTGACACAGAAAAAAGTTGACAATCCAAAACACTTTCATAATAAAAACACTAAAAAAACTACGAATAAAAGAAACTTTCTTAACATGATAAAAGACATGAAAAATCCAGCACCAACAACATAGTTAATGGTGAAATTTAGAGTAAGATCCTTAAAATCAGGAACAAAACAAACTGCTCACTTTTACACTGCTATTCACTACTGTACTCGAAGTTCTAGCCAGAACAATTAAGACAGGAAATACAAATCAAAGCCACCCAAATTACAAAAAAAAAAAAAATCTTCATCTGCAGATGATATATCCTCATATATATCTTCCAAAAAATCCAAAATAAAGATATCATAGTAAATAAATTCAGCAAACATGTAGGTTACAAGATTAATACACAAAATCAACTATTTATATACATCAGCAATAAACAATTTGGGGAATAGTATACACCTCTGAGCCCAGCTACTTGAGAGAATGAGGCAGGAGGATCACAAGTTTGAGCCCAGGCTGAGTAGCTTATAAAGACCCTGTCTCCAAAATAAGATAAGGATTGGGGATGTAGCTCAGTGGCAGAGCATCTGCCCTGGAAGAAACCCTGGGTTTGAAGAAATGTCAATTCTAGTACTTTTACCCATTTGTAAACTTGGGTTGTTTATCTAATTGTTGTTCATTTGCAGGGCAAAAGTGTGGGGGGGGACTAATACTCTGAATACATAAAGAACCCCTACAACTCAGTAACAAAGAAACAAGCAACTCAATTTTACAAATGGATAAAAGGAATAGGAGGCATTTCTCCAAACAAGAAATACAAATGGCATGTGAAAAGATGCTCCACATCATCAGTCTTTTGAGAAAGGCAAATCAAAACTATAATGAGATACCACTTCACACAGAATAGGGTGGCTATCAGCAAAATACTAAGATGGCTATATACAAAATATCAGGCCAGGGCCGGGGATTTAGCTCAGTGGTTCCACCGCCTGCCTCGCAAGTGCAAGGTCCCGAGTTTGACCCCCGGTACCAAAAAACCCCCCAAAATCAGGCCATGTTATGGATGTGGAAAAATTGGAATATACTCAATATTGTTGATGAGAATGGAAATGGTATAGGATGTATAGTACCATTTGGCAGTTCCTCAAAATGTAAACATAGAATTGCCTCTTAATTAATTTACTAGATCAGGGTACGGCATTAAGGGAAACCAGTTTATTTAAAAGGAAGTTGAAATTCACTGCTAGGTATATAGTCAAAATTGGTAACAGGGACTTACTGGGGCTGAGAAAACAATATCCCAAAATAAGACTATTTGATATGGTGAGTACTTTGAATCAAAAAAATAAAGAGTCAGAACCAAGATCTCTCTGATCTTCAGAAAAACCCCGTCTTCTTTTTCATCCAAAGTCCAAGAAGCAGCTTTCTCTGAAGGTTTAAATTGTGTACTGTATTGAGTAATGTGTTCCATCCTGCCCAAGACATGAATCATCTCTTTGTCCATGGTATCCTTGCTGCATATGCTACCCACTATTAGTGACTTAATAGCTATTAGTTACGAGATCAACTGTCATGATATTTCAGTGCTTGTGAGGCAGGGAGCAATCAGGTAATACTTTGATGTAGCAGCTCAAGAGAAAAGGAGCAGGAAGCTGCGAATTTTGGTGAGAAAGGAAATGAAGTTATTTTACAGGAAGAAGCTGCTGTAGTTTCTGAGATAACAAAGTGGGATGCACAAGGAAATGCATAAGACTAAACAAGGCTGGCAACAGATTTGACCTAGAGCTGACCCTAAAATTCCAAATTTATACCTGCATAGTAACTAAACTCTCTCTAGCCCAATCTCTAAACCTTCCTGAAAAAAACTGATTAATTAATAACATTTCTTTGAGACACCATAAAGGTGAAATATCTCCTTTTTCAGGCTCTTTGTGGAATAGCCAGCTTTGCTGTCCTTTACTAGGGCTGTCTCTTTCCTAGGGCTGGACACCCAACAGGGCAGCCAGCTGTTTTTTCTTATAATAAATAAACTTGTATTTTATTCTCACTTTTAGAATTAGTCCATGTCTGAGTTCCATTTTTTTTTTTTAAGTATAGGGATTTAACCCAGGGCCTTTTTGTACTGGGCTGCATTCTTAGCCCTTTTTTATTTTTTATTTTGAGACAGGGTCTAAGTTGCCCAGATTGGGCAAGAATTTGGAATTCTCCTGCCTCAGTCTCCTACAATCCTGGGATCACAGACATGTGCCACCATGCCTGACTATGATTTCCATCTTATATGGAGCTAAAGATCCACACTACCTACTGACTGGTGACACTTCTATTCAGGTAATGATTAATTTACTTAATAACAACACCAAAGTGCAAGAGGAGTGATGTTGGCAATTGGTTATGCTGAAGAGATTTCACAAGTGCTTCTTTTAAGTAAAAGAGTGACATAATAAAAGTTCTTAACAAGAGAAAAAGACCTGTATGCAAACAAATAAACAAACAAAAAACCTGTATGCTGATGTTGCTAGGTTCTATGGAAAGAATAAATCTATCCATGAAATTATAAAGAAGGAAAATAAAATTAGTGCTAGTTCCCTAGAATTTGTGAGACTCTGAGTTTGATCCCCAGCACTAAGCAAAAATAAAAAATAAAAAATTTTAAAAATAAAAAGGAAGGAAGAAAAGGAAAGATGGAAAAGATGTTAAGTTATAAGGTCCAGTACTACCTTTGGTTTCAGGAATCCACTGAGGGTCTTAGAACTTATCCCTTGAGGAAAAGGAAGTCCTTTTATATAAGAAAGTTTTAAATATTCTTTTTCCCCTCCAAAGTGTCAATTTTAGTCTATAAAATGAACAGGCAATAGAGAAACAAGAAGGAAAAAAAAGCATAAGCACTTAATAATATGCGGAAACACAGAAGCCATAAAGTAGGAGACCAAAGAAAAGGCCAGATGGTTGAACCTTAAATAGCAATTTGAGCTACAGAAAGAAATAGAGACTTGATGAGGCAGGCATGCTGGCACAAGCCTATAATCTCAGAACTCAGGAAGGTAAGGCAGGAGGATTGTGAGTTTGAGGCCAGCCTGGGCTACACAGTGAGGGTCTATCTCAAAAAAAAAAGAAAGAAAAAGAAAAAGAAAGCAAAGAACAAAAGGAGAAAGAGAGGGAGACATAGGGACTTGAGGTGGCAGGGTGGTGGTAACAGAAAACTATGGCAGGGTGAGGGCTGAGGAGAGGAAGAAAAGGTGGACAAAAGTTGTCCTACTTTATTGACAGTCTCCCAAGTAACTGTCACTCATTATCTGTCTGGGCCAGATATCAGAACCCTAATCTTTTATTCCTGTGAAATGATCTCTCCTAAATAGATGAGGGCTATCAGATTGAAAGCCTCAGGCTGCATGCAGTGTTTACTAATGTACATGACTATAAATTTCTTTTCACAAATCCATTTTTTTTTTCTGCAGAGGTATACTTTTTCTCTAAATAACCGACTCAAAACATGACACAAAAATATATTTAGGGTGGGATATTTTGATGTTTTTCAACTACCTTTTGTTGAAATATTTGGCCTTTTATCTTTCGTTGTAGAAACAGATCCAGAACAGCTACATAGTGATTCAGGTGAAAGAGAAGCCATTTGTTAATTATAGTGAGAACACCTAAGCTTACCTTAATGAAGTGATTTTTGGAAAGTCCCTTGATAACCTCAGGATGGGGGCTGGTTGCCAGGGGAACAAATTAAAGGTTTTCAGAGGGTTGGAACTCACACCTTATCCCCCACCTCAGAGTAAGAGGCTAAAATTTGAGTTAATCACCAACAGCTGATGATTTGATCAACCACTGTAACAAACCCTCCATAAAATATAAAAGGATTGAGTTTATGTTTTCAAAGAACAAGAACACATCTACATGTGAAGAGACTGACATGCCCCAATTCCAAGGAGATAGAAGCTTGAGTTAGGGAGCTTTCCAGACCTCATTATGTATTCTTTTTACCTGAAGAGATCTGTATTCTCTTTGAACATTCTCAGAATCCTTTTGTATCTTTTAAAACTTCCTTTTAAATAAACAGGTTTCCCTTAATGCTGTACACTGATCTAGTAAATTAATCACACCAAGGAGGGGGTTGTGGAATCCTTGGCATCTAAAGTGCCAAGGCAGTCTTGGACTGACCCCTCAATTTGTGGGACCTGACACTATTTCCAGGTAGTGCTGGAACAGAATTGAACTAGAAGACATCCAGGAGGTGTCTCTGCTGCAGAAGTGACTGCTTGCTTAATGTATGGGGACACATCTGGTCTAAATGTGTTGTGACAGTATGGTAAGAGTTTTGTTTTTCTACTCGACAAATTCTATATCTTATACTATTGTTTTTTACTCAGACATCAAGTGTATATTTTAACACTTACAAAATATACTGCTCCAAAGCTTCCATGGCCAATTTCTCTGAGATCTGTGAAGAGCTTCTCTGGATCTTCTTTGAAGAAGAGCTCCGCAATTTCAGGGTCCTTTAGACTGCCAGCTCTGTTAGTTGATGGCATCCTGCTGGGCAGTCAGCTGTCTGATTCTAATTATAAACTGCTATCCCAATCCTTGGTTCATCTGTATGAATGAAGCCACGTTGGCAAACTACTGTAGATAAATAAGAACAGAAAAGCAGGAAAATTAAAAGCTGCTAAGAATAATTTATGTAAGATCATTTACTGACAGCATCCACAAAAATTACTGAATTTCATTGAAAAGGCAATGTGATCTACTGCTGAAGTGGTTCCTAAGCCTGGCTCATTATCACAATTATTTGTGGCACTTTAAAAAAGAAATTTCTAGGCCAAGCACAGTAGAACACACCTGTAATCTCAGCCCTCTGGGAGGCTGACTCAAGAGGATCACAAGTTTGTGCCCAGCCTGGCACAAAGATCCTATCTCAAAGTAAAAAAAAATATCTAAAGGGCTGGAAATGTAGTTCAGTAAGAAGGCCTTAGTTCAATTACCATTACTCGATTACTGTCAAAAAAAGGCAGGGGGTTGGGTTCTCGACAATACAGCATTTTAAAATTTTAGATACATCTTTATATCTTGAGAAGCTTCCAGTGTCATAATGTATTTAAAGATTGATCTAACTTTGACACAGTTAGCAAAAGAGATGATACAATACAGGAATAATTAAAAATATATACTACAATGACAAGCCGTATGCACAGTGTTTTTAACAACAGACACCACTTATTAATGATCTCCATATATAAGGAAATACACAAAAAATGTATTAGCAAACTTTCTTTTCCTTTCAGATGCCATATGATGCTGTATTAACAAAATCTGACAAACATTTTAAAGGAAAACATACCAGGAGAAAGTACAAATTTAACACAGACAACTGTTTCCCCATAAACCCGATTTACAGTAAAATTTGGCCTTTTATCAATTCTCACTCCTTAAATAAGTAGCCATACAGATATCCAGTAAATTCCTTGGTGGTTCTGCTACCAATTCTTTCAGATTACCCAATTATTAAAATGACTACTAACTGAGAGGCATCAGTACCTCAGTCTGGAATGATGAGGCCTAGCTATGAATTCGAGAAACACTATTTACAAGTTGTGAACTTGAGTAGTCTTATTTTTCTAATCTGTAAAATGAAAATAATCTACTTCATAGGTAGTTGTGAGGGTTAAATGAGTTAATAAATATAAGCACACGGGCCAGGGATTTAGCTCAGTGGTTCCACCACCTGCCTCACAAGCACAAGGTCCCGAGTTCGATCTCTGGTACCCAAAAAAAAAAAAAAGTATAAACAACCATATTGAGAATTTTTGTGCTCACTTTAGCAGCACATATACTAAATGTAAGCACCTACCAGTACTCTGGCACAGTCAGCACTACAACAAGTGTTAGCTATTTTCTTTTAATCTGCTTAACTTTAGCAATTAAAATAATAGAATTTACTTTATTAGAATTCTAAAGAAAACAAAGCTTCAGCTAATTCTTCTTATGCCCTTTACATGACTTTTAAACAGGTCTATCTCTCCTCTCTCTGTCAATTAATAATATTATGATAGGGCTTAGCCTGGAAATATCTATGTATAGTACCTTCTTTTAACATAATCTAGTGTTATGGTATGATATACAAAACATTTTGCCATCTAATTTGATAACGAAATGATCCACACATTACTGGGATTTTTTTTTTTTTTTTTTTTTGGTACCAGGGATCGAACTTGGGTCCTTGCACTTGCAGGGCAGGCGGTGGAACCACTGAGCTAAATCCCCGGCCCCATTACTGGGATTTTAAAAGCATGACATTAGTACTCCACTTTACTTGTTTTGACATAATGAATATGCACTGGTAATAAAATGTCACAGCTCAGTGATAGGTGTTGAGGTATAATTGCATTAGTGCAATTTATAGTGTGCCAAGTTGTGGTGTTAGGGATTGAAAAAATCATGTATAGTCTCTACCATAGTACAACTACTCAATTTTGTCATTCTAGTACAAAAGCAACTACTTATAAATGAATAAACTTGTTTTCCAATAAAACTTTACTGATATTCAATTTGAATTTCATACAGTTTTCATGTGCTACAACATACTATTTTTCTTTTTTTTCCAACCATTTAAAAATATGAAAAACAGCTATGCATGGTAGTGCATGCTTGTAATCCCAGCCCTCAGGAGGTTTAGGCTGGAGGACTGCCATGAGGCAGGAGGCCAGCTTGGGCTACACAGTGAGTTCAAGGCCAGTCTGCACTAACAAGCAAGACCCTATCTCAAAAAACAAAAAATAAAAAAAACACAAAAAGACAAAAAACAAAACATTCTTAACTGGGACCATGCAAAAATCAAGTAGTAAAGATGTATGTAGCTGTTGAAAAAGGAATATCTCTATCTGATGCTATGGATTAATCTATAGGTTATATTTTTGTGAAAAACAGCAAACACAGAACACTATATAATATGCCACCTTAAGGGGAGAGAATATGAAAAAATGATGAAAAGATAAATAAAATCCCACTTCAAGTACTTACCTATGGAGAAAGGAGACAGAGTGGATGAGATGGGAATAATTACATTTCTAAATCCACCATGTATTATAAACCTGACTTTTAATCTCTTTATAGAATTAAAAAAATGTAAAGAAAATGAAAAATCCCTAAAAGTCCAAAGCTAATTAAAACAAACAACTCTAACTATATTTATGGCAGTTTCACAATTCAGAGAGGAATTATTTCAACTCTTAAACATCATGTTTTTCCTATATATTACTACTAGGATGAAACGGGGGTTGGGCGGGGGTGGGAACCACCTGAAAATCTTAAGCTATTTCAATCATCATGTTGTTAGTAATAATCATTATACACATAAGATACAATAAATGAATAAGTAACATCATGAGGAGCCAAGATAAAATAGCTGGCCATACTGGTGCACACCTGTAATTCTAACATTCTGTAGGCCGTGGGAGGATATCAACTTTCCAGGCCAGTCCTGACTACATAGTGAGACCCTGCCTCAAAACACCAACCAACCCCTCAATAAATAAATAAAAATTTAAAGTGTATACATTCAAAGAAATAAAACTTGCAATCATGCAGAAGTCTAAAATGTCAGGGAGAAATCCGTCTTTCTGATCAGAGGAACTGGGGAAAGGGGCCACTGGAAACTGAGGAGTACAAGGGAAATACTGGAAAGAATTAGAAATGAGATTCTCTAATTCTGCATATGAACCAAAACAAACCCTGATTTATACATGCATACAACAAACTCAAACTAGCACAGTAAAGTCTTTAAGAACTCCAACATAAGTCCTAAACTATCTGAGAAGCCAGGGGTGGTGGCACATACTTGTAATTCTAGGACTGGGAATGCTAAGGAAGGAGGATCACCATTGAGTTTGGATGCCAGCCTGGGCTACATAGTGAGTTCAAGGCCTGCCTAAACTATACAGAGAGACTCAGCCTCAAAAAACAAATAAACAAAAACAAAACTTACCTGAGAGACATGTGTATATACAAAGAGAGCAGGAAAGTTTTGAAAACTGAGCTTTTAGTACAACCAACCCCCAAATAAAGTAAAACAGATTTTGTCACACAAGTCACCTGGTTTTTATATACTAAAATGAACAAATCAACATTCTCCAAAAGCTGTTAATAATAGCATATATCTATATTCTTGGCACTCTGGGAGACTGAGGCAGGAGGATCCCAAGTCCAAAGACCCTGGGTTCAATCACCAATAACACCTCCCCAAAAAAGAAATTACAATTATTCAAAATGTCCAGGATAAAACCCAAAATTACTCTATGTGCAAAAACAAACTCAATACACTCCCAAAAAAGGAAAATGTGACAATTATCAAGGGAAAAGATGAACAAATAACAACTTCAAGGTGACTCACGGTGAACTGTCAAAGACATAATTAATGAGACATGGGATAACACTTTTGAAACAACTGGAAAGACATTCATTTATTCATTCATTTACTGGTTTTTTTGAGAGAGGGTTTCACCATGTAGTCCAGGCTGGCCTCAAACTTATAGCAATACTCCTGCCTCGCCCTCTGGAGTCCTGGGATTACAGGCATGCACCACCATGCTCAGCTAAAACATAAATTTTTATTTTTAAAATTTTTTATTTTTTAATTTTTTGGGGTACCAGGGAACGAACTTGGGACCTTGCGCTTGTGAGGCAGGCACTGGAACCACTGAGCTAAACCCCTGGTCCAGACATAAATTTTTAGCAGAGAAATGGAAACTATAAAAAGAATCATAAGGCACCAGGGATTTATCTCAATGGCACCACACTTGCCTCACAAGCACAAGGTCTTGGGTTTATCCCTGGTACCATAAAAAAAAACAAAGAAAAAAGAAAGAAAAGTCATCTCCTGAAAGGAATCACATAGAAAATACAATATCCAAAAGTGTTTCTAAAACTTACTGCATGGGCTCAATAGAATGAACATGCTAAGTGGACAGAGTCAGTGTACTTAAAGATAAAACAGAAAAAGGTTGAAAAAAAATGAATATAGCCCAAATGACTTGTGGGCCAATGTCAAATGTTCTAAGTTTCATATCACTGGAGTTGCATAGAGAATAAAAATAAACTAATAAAAAAATTCTTTATTAATGGCAAAAAACTTCCAAAATTTTGCAAAAGACATAATTTTACAGACTCAAGGTCAGCAAACTCCAAAAAACACAAATTCAAGTGAAATCAGTACAAGATAAAACATAATGAAAAAACCAAAATATAAACTAAAATTAGAATTATTACAGATTTCTCAGTGGAAACAATGGAATCCAGAGAAAATGAAGTAGCATCTTTAAAGCGATAAAAGAAGTGCCAAGTCAGAATTCTTTACCTAACAAAAGTCTTCTTCAGAAATGAAGATATTCTTAAATGAAGGAAAACTAAGACAATATATCACCAGCAGAATTCTGCTAATAGAAATGCAAAAAACTAAAAAAAGAAAGTTGGAGTGGTTATATTAGCATTAGATAAAATAGACTCCACAGCTAGAAAATTTACAAGGTATAAAGAACATTACACAATCATATGTCCATTCACTAAATCTCAAATTTATATGCATCTGACAACAAAGTTTCAAAATTACATGAAGCAGGGCTGGGGATTTA